GCCTGGCTCTGGGGAAAGGGAAGGGGATTGGGTTAGAGTGGGGGGTGCCTGGGGAAGGGAAGGGGAAGAGCAGCCAGTGTGCTTCCTGAGACCCAGGATCCCCAGGTACTGGCCCCAGCTGTGTCTGTCCTCTCCCCCTGGCTAGACCCCCCACAAGTACCCTGCCCCAGCATCCACCAGCAGCCTACCCCAGCACACTGTCCCCTGCCCCCACCAGCACAGTTGGGGCCACATTAGTAAGGCTTGGGGGGTTTTGGACTGGTTGTTTTTTTGCATCTCACTTGTGTGGCCCTGACTGACTTTTCTGTGGGTAAGTGACCCCTGACTCAAAACAGGTTCCCCGCCCCTCTCATAAATAAAGACAACACTGAAACATTTTGTGTTTGACTTAATATTTTATTTAAAAATGAAACCTGACTGCCAAGCCCCCACCTGGCTGCAGCATAATAACACTCCTGTACCGCCCCAGGCCCCAAACCTGAGCCTATCATACACTAGAACTGCCTGTCCTGAGCCTCTCACATCCCCAAACTCCTGCACCTCCACATCCCCAGTCTTCTGCCACAACACTCCTGCACCATCCCCACACTGCAAATCTGTGTCCTGAGCCCGTCATACTCCCAGCCCCCTTGCCCCGAGCCCCTCATGCACCCCAGCCCAAACTCCTGCACCCTCACAGTCACAAGCCTGCAGCTTGCTCAGCCCCCCAACCCTCCACCTGATCCCAACACTCCCCAGCCTGGAGCTCCCTCTCTGAGCCAGCATCCTCTTCTCTACTTCCTCCTGCACCCAAATCCCCTCCCAGAGCTTGCACCTCTCACCCCTTTCCAGTGCTTTTTTTGTGATGGTATGCTCTGGGATGGTGTACTGGTACCTGTTTTCCCCCGACACATTTTTTTTCTCAACAACCTCTCTTCCCCCCCAGTACGTGGCTCTTCACACTCTATCCACCACTATTTTGGCTTTTCGTCTTTAACGGGTTGGCCATCCCCGATCTTGACAGTACTGGGTCCTGCCGTGAGGGCAGGGCAGGGGACAGGACTCGATGACCTCTTGAGGTCCCTTCCAGTTATATATATATATAATTGTAGAACCTGTTAATCAAGCTAATTAAGGCTGGATGCATTCTGTTCATAGCTTTTGATGTGAAAATGCAGATGTCAAAGGCAAGGAAATTTGGCTTTTTAGTGCATTACCCAGTTTGTCTTTATTGAAGCCATGGGTAAGTGTCAAATTTGTAGATGAATTCCAGTTCTGCAGTCTCTCTCTGTAATTGGGTGGTGATGTTCCTTTGTAGAAGAATGGCTACTTTTAAATCAATGGTTGAGTGTCCAGGTAGGTTAAACTGTTCCCTTACAGGTTTATGTGTGTTACCATTTCTGATGTCTGATTTGTGTCCATTTATCCTTTGTTGTAGAGACTGTCTGGTACTTGATGGCATATATTACGTTAGAGGATGTGCAGTTGTATGAGCCCTGATGTTGTGGCTTATGTGGTTAGGTCCTGTGATGGCGTCCCTTGTATCGATATGTGGACAGAGTTGGCAATGGGATTTGTTGCAGGGGTAGGTTCCTGGGTGAGTGTTTTTCAGGTGTGATGTATGACTGCTGAAAAGGATTTGCTTCAGGCTGGGGGATTGTTAGTAGGCGAGAATTGGCCTGTGAGATTTTAAAGACTTCTTTTTGTCACTTAACATCATTATATATTTTTCTCATGGTTGTGGTTTAAGCCACCTAACTTAGTCAAGAAGCTGATTCTCTAGGACATGAGCAGATCTTGCTCAGGCAAAAAAAAAAAAAAAAACCCCAAACAAAAAACCAACAACTCAAGTCAATGGGTTAGTGAGAACATTGCCTGAATATGGACTTGGGCTGCTGAATTTGGTCTCATGTGGTTCTGGAAATGAGCTTCTTGCCAAGAGAACCCAACTCTGAAGGCTTCCGATGATGGGCTCCTTGAGGGAGGAGAAAGTATATTGCTTGTGAATTTGCTTTCAATGCAATGAAGGCTCCCAAGCATCAAAACTGCTTTTGAAAAAGGGAACCCAGGACTCCTTAGTCACTTGGGGTACGTCTACACTACATGGCTCCATCGACGGAGCCATGTAGATTTGTTTATTGGGCAAAGGGAAATGAAGCGGTGATTTAAATAATCGCCGCTTCATTTAAATTTACATGGCTGCCCTTTGTCACAGCTGATCAGCTGTTTGTCGGCTCAGCGCGCTAGTCTGGACACTCCCTTGCCGACATCAAATCCCTTTGTCGGAAGCCCCGGTAAACCTCATCCCACAAGAAATAACGGGACAAACAGCTGATCAGCTGTTTGTCGGCTCGGCGCGGCAGCCATGTAAATTTAAATGAAGCGGCGATTATTTAATCACCGCTTCATTTCCCTTTGCCTACAACCCTCATCTACATGGCTCCGTCGATGGAGCCATGTAGTCTAGACACAGCCTTGGTGCTTTGAAAAGCTTCCCCGCTTGGTGCCCATAATGACCCAGTTGTCTTCTCTTCCTGTTGACTTAGTGAGATGAGTGCAGAGTCCAAAAGTTTTTTTAAATCTAGAGAGGTTTGTGACATTTGGTAACCACCTCCTCTGATGTGTGGATGGTGCTTTGAGGTCCCGCTAGTGTCTTTAGAAGAAGTTCATAATCTTTCTCTAGAGTTTTCCCTCAAGGATCTCACTTCTCCATAGGAGCAATAGTGAAACACGGCCCCATCAAGGACAGACGTATTATTTCCTGGCATTTTACAGAGAAAAAGAGAGAGAAATGGAAACCAGGGCTCAATTAAGTGACTTGCCCAAGGCTATGCTGAGTCAGTGCCAAAGTTCAAAATAGCTCACAGGTCCCCAAGCTTTTTCTTCAACCACTGGACCATTTTTCTCTCTGGATATTAGATTCTGAAATGATTAACTGTTTCCTTCAAGGCCTTGAGTCTTTCTCAGCCAGCAATCGGCTGTCTGGAAGATGCAAGGTTCCTTTGTGTAGGCTGTGTATACTGAAAGGAATGTTCCAGGTTACTGAGGAGGGGAAGGACTGCATTTCTTTCTGAAGATATGAGAGCTGCTTTGGTTCCTTGCTGAAAGTCTTGACTTGCAATCACATCATGGCTCTTGTCTTGTAGCCATGCCATCTCCATATCTCCACGGTATCCCTCCTGATTGGCATGACAGGCATCTACTGGCAGAGTGGGAAAAGGGGCCACTCGATGGGTGCCCAAGGCTTTATACCACTGCACAGGCCTGAGGGCATTCCTATGGGGAGGTGGTAATATTCCCAGCTGCATCTCTCTTGCCTCTGGCAGCGCTGCTAAATCTCCAGTGCTGCTGCTGCCACCATGTGCCTGACATGCTCATGCCCTGTATTTCTCTCTCCTTGCAGATGGCCCGTCCAATCCAGGTGAAGCCAGCGGACAGCGAGAGCCGTGGAGGTAGTTGTCATCTCTCCTTGTTATTGCTCCCTGTTGTTTTGCTGGCAGCTGGCTGTTGTGAGTTGCCTTCCTGGCCCATTCTTGCTAGGCTGAGAGACAAAGTGAGTGGCCTGCCCTTGCTTTACCTCCTCATGCACTCCTACAGGCTATTATGGGCCTGGGTTTGGGTTATGGCTACAACAAAAGGGCTACTGTTGGGAGCTCCTGGTTTGGTACTGTTGGGAGCTCCATGCCCAAGTGCACCATTGTAAGACTTCGCCAGGCCCACAGCTTCCCTGCTAGGCCCCAGGTGTAAGCTACATGTGCCATACTTGGGAACTAAGCAGAGCACCAGCCCTGGACAGGCACAGGAGCAGCGGGAAGCATGACAAGGGTGTTTGGAGCAGGCTCAAGCATGGCACTGGGCCAGATGTTTCATTGGAACCTTTTCTCAATAGAAAAAGCAGATTTGGGTTGCCCAGATTTTGGGGTCAAATTCACCAACTCATTCAGTCAAAATAAAAATGAAAGAAAAAAAGCAGAAACATATCTAAACATTCCAGTGTTTCATATTGGAAATGTGTTTTGTCTTGGAATTTTTTTTTAAATAACCTCCCCTCCCCGAGAAATGAAACAGGTTTTTTGGTACGATCAACAGCTATTTGCACAGCTCTCCTCAGCAGTGTAGGTTAGCCCCTTGGCCTAGCAAGTATTAGCGTGACAGCAGTAACATATGCTAAGTGGTTATGACCTGGAATATGTGGAGAGCTGTGTTACTTTACACTAGAGATCACGCCCCTGTCAGATGCCATTCTTTCAATGGAGCAAGTGCAACCCCCCTTCCCCCTCCCGCTGTCGCAAATGAACAGATCCTTTTTCTTGCTTTTCCCTGTCTTCACTGTGCATTTCTTCTTCCTCCCACACTCCTGCATCTATCCTCCCTTCCCTGCTGCCTGTTACAGGAATTGGGTAGGGCTGGTGAATTTGCGTGGGGATGTTTTCCGCTTTAAAATGGAACATCACAGGTGCCGTGTGTAGGATTGGAAGGGTTTGATTTTTGTTTTAAATGATTATTTCATTTGTATTGATTTCAT